TGTGTGTGCGTGTGCGTGTGTGTGTGTGGATGGGTAGGTGGATGTGAAAAAATAAAAACACTAATTATTTTACCAAATTTATTATTAATTTATCAAATGTTCTAATTAATATCCTTCGGCAACTTGACAGTGTCCTATGCGAACGAAAAACATATTGATAACGTTAGTAATAAATTCTGATGTGATTGAATTCGAAACATTTACTATTTTTTCTTGTATCTCTGCTAAATTTGAGGACATAATCTCACAAACTTTGTTTTTTAATAATGCCTAATCATATTATAGGATCGTTTTTTAATTGAAGGTAACATAAGGTTTATGAAGCTACTTGGATTTGCTAAGAAATCAAGTGTTACCGGCTATATAAGATGTTGCTGGAGAAGTTTTCCATAATGTTTCAGCAGGATCCAACTCATTTTTCTCTGAAGGTTCGAGATTTTCTCAACAGTATTTTTATTGATCGATGGATCGGTAGAAGAGGTACAATGGAATGGCTATCGAGATCACTAGATTTAAGCCCATTAGATTTTTTTACTGAGGGTATTTAAAAAGCAAAGCTTGTGAGACTATGTCCTCAAATTTAGCAGAGCTACGAGAAAAAATAGTGAATGTTTCGAATTCAATGACACCAGAATTTATTACTAACGTTATCAATACGTTTTTCGTTCGCATAGAACACTGAAGTCAAATTGCTGAAAGATAACAATTAAAACATTTGATAAATTAATAATAAATTTGGTAAAATAATTACTGTTTTTATTTTAACATAAACGTAAAAAACATTCATTGTGACCCTCATATAACTTTTTGGGATTAATAAAGCCGCACATGTTACCCCATTCTTTTAAATTATTATTTTCATTTTTATAGTAAAAATTGAAAATATGAGAAACAACCTCCAATCGTCTTGACCTTGACAAATGTTATCAAGGTGATGGCCCTGACCAACATTCAAAAAGTTTTAGCTATCGGTCGAATACCTTGGGTATCAATACTAATGCCAACATTATTGTAACTTTGAAGCCTTTTAACTCGAATGATATTTAATGAAATAGTGTTTTGGAAAGCTCTCGAGGTATGCTATGCTCGAGATATGCTCGAAGTGTTCGTCTATTGGACACCTTGGATAATGTTAATGTCGACGATACTGTAATTTTCAAACTTTATAACTTAAAAAGTATTTATTAAAAAATAACTTTATTATAGCGTTTTGGAAAGCTCTCGAGGTGTGCTACAAGAATATGTAATGAAAAATGGGGGGTTCCATTTAAAAAATTCAAAGTGATCTTATCCTGACGACGCCACTTAAGGTCATATCAATGTTATCATCTTATGCCCCCCTTGAAGTTCCAAAACTTTGTCTGAAACAGTTTTCCTTAAAATGCACTGTTCAAGAGATATTTGAGGTAATCGATTAAAATGGGACACCCTGTATATACAGGATGTCCGGTAATCAATAATAAAGCGCTCGTGAGCAAGTAGAGTAGGCTAAACCGAATCAAAAAGTCCTCTATCATTTTGCGATCTTCGCAATAGTTATCGAGATATTAATCATTTAAAATAAAAAAAAATTTACGCCAAGTATTCAAAAAAGTATCGTACATATATCTTTCCTAAATCATTGGTTATTTTAATCACTTTAAGCCTGTTTTATGAAACTTAAAATTATTTGGAAAGACAGTGACATTAAACTTTTGCTGCATATACTTTTGGATAGTTTAAACAATTTAATAAAAAAATATTTTTTTAATTTAAAATAAAATAGTTTTGTCAAATCAAATACTTGGCAATTTGTATGATCTCATATTTGTTTTTGGACAACTTTTATTTGTTAAAATAATATTTTTGAGTCACAATCTTGACAGCATATGTCAAGATCAAAGTAATCGGAAGTACTTTCCTTAAAGTGAATAATTATCTATTGATATATTAATTTATTAGGCAAGTCTAGTTTCTGCTTTGTTTTTCTTCTTGTTAACACGTTTCCACATTATTAATTTATTTCATAATACCACTCCATTGATAAAAAAATGACACAAAAATAATGTTTAGTTTTGACTTTTGTCATTTTTCTATTAATGAAGTAATACGTATAAAAGTCATTCAATGCAAGACGTTTTAGACATTTTGAAGACGTCTTGAAACAATGTCCTAATAGCATCATAAATTGAGACATAAAATATTTTAAAGATTTTCTCATACTTTATCTGACGTCTGAAAAATTTTAAAATGACATCTTTTAGACGTCTTAATATTCATTGGATATACATTGCAAAAGTAACTCATACATTAATATATAAAATTTTAAGCTATTCAAAAACTAATAAAATGGAATAAATAAATTAGTATAGTATAGGCAGATTTAATTGAAAAGGTTTCTTTTTGTAAATAAATTTTTATACTAATTACATTCGTTTTTTGTTTATTTACTAAATTATCTTTGTAATTTATAAGTATTAATTTATATAACGTTTGCTGATTATTGACAAAATGTGTACAAAATTTTCTTTATATTTTAGTTATTATGTATGTTATCATTTAATTACAACGTCCATAGATGACAAGAAAAAATGCAATTAATAATTTTTTTTATAATTTATTATTGTGAAATAATGATAATGATATATATAGGGTGTCCGGTAATAACCGCCCAAAATCTCGTGGGCTGGTAGAGCAGATTAAACTGAACAGAAAAGTCCTCTACCATTTTGCAAAATTCGCAATCGTTAACGAGATATTAATTTTTGAAGACTGGCAAATAAACGCGTATTCGTCCGGCCCACCGTCGAATACAGCGGTGGGACGGCCATATCTCGCCGCGTTGCTAGACGTGTGGGGATAGAGTCTATCCCCACATGCCTAGCAGCGCGGCAAGATACGACCGGCATGATCGCCCCACCGCTGGTACTCAGCGGTGGGCCGGACGGATACGCGCTTATTTGCCAATTATCAAAAATTAATATCTCGTTAACAATTGCGAATTTTGCAAAATAGTAGAGGACTTTTCGATTCAGTTTAATCTGCTCTATCAGTCCACGAGATTTTGGGCGGTTATTACCGGATACCCTGTATATATGTATGTATATATCATTTATTAATTTTATTTAAATATTTTTACTATTTTTACTATTTTAATGCAAAAGTCTTCCAGTATTGTAATATATATTTAAAAATATATTTAAAAAAACTTATTTATATGCAGAGAATAAAAAAATTTATTTCCTGATTTATAAAATAATATTGTTATTTTTTATCTAATTGCTAGCTGGTTGGGTTGTTGTTCCTGACTGTAACATAATGGATTGTACAGAAAGTGTAGATGATATGGTGGCAGCCGTTACAGCATCTGTATGGTGATGATGATGATGATGATGATGATGATACAACGCTGAAGCATAATACTGTTGATGTGCCAAATGAGGATGATGGTGAAGATATCCGCTTGAGATTCTATGATTATTATTATCTTCATTATTACTGTTGTTGTTATTATTAACAGAACTGTCATCATGACGGTTGTAATGATGATTATTGTTGATTGTGGAGCATAGTGACGAAGTTGGAGAAGAGGATGATGAAGAGTTCTGTATATTACAACTATTAGCCAGAATGTCGTGTACAGTGTGAGGACTCGGCCATTGCAAAGCGTTGTTGGTCGTTGTTTGATGTCCACCACTATCATGTACCATTGGAGGTGATGATGATGATGATGACAATTTACTTGCTGACGTTGATCCAACTAGAAATACAATAATAGCAAATAAGTAAGATGAGAGATTTTTCAATTTTGATATCAATGATTAATATCAAAATGGAAGAAATATGTGTAACTGAAACTTGATATAACTTCTTTGCTAGAACTAAATGTGTATTTGAAATTAATATATATTTTTAAACAAACAATAACGACAAGCTAATGTAAAAAAAATCAGAAATTATAAAATTAGTCCAAATTAACGAGCATTAAATAAAAAACAACGTTTATAACACACTAAATCAGTAAAAATAGTCAAATAATATTACAATACGTGATATATATTCTAACTTCATTTACAATTAGCCTAATTCTTCCGTAATATAAATTAGTCAATTAATATGTAAAAAAGATCGCATAGTCAGTATAAAATTAAAATTAGTAAAAAGTAGTCATAAAGTAATATGTGAAAAGCCATGGCGTTGTTCAAATTAATTGCTCTGATACGGTCTCTTTGTCCAGTATATGTATAAAAAATCCCAACGGAGTGAAGAATTGATTGGTAAAAATTATAAAACTTTTTCGATTGTTCAAACATAATATGCAGATATAATCAAGGTAATAAAAGTAATTATGAATTAGAAGTTAAATTAAAATGAAATAAATTGAATTATGTATAAAAAAAATATTAGAACTTACTAGCTGTTGATATAAAATTTACAAGTAATTTTCATATGGAAACAAAGAGAAATTTGAAATTGTCGCTCAATTACAATATCAATTACAATAGACGACTGATTGTGAGTAATAAGGCAAACTGCGACAATGTCAGCGATCATCATCATGTTTATAAATAAGTTTATATGCATATAAATAATGATAAACTGATACTTCATAAAATTTTAGACAAAAGATTAAAATATGACGAATTTAATAATTAAACGATCGAACGATCTTAAGGAGAGATGTTCAATCGTAATTATGAAGAAAGTCTCGTTCGAGACGATTTGACTGTGTGTAGTACTATCTTCCGCTCCTCGTGGCGCTACAAGCTTTAGAGTAATTATTTTTCTTTTCTTCTCCTTCTTCGTTGTGTTTTGCGCTTCTATGCTTTATATAGTTTAAAGCTTGATTTATCTAATAGTAAGAAAAATTACTGTGAGCACTGGGGTTGCGAAAAGAATAAAATATTTTTTTTGGGGGGGGGGGAGAGTAATCGTCTGGAACGAGACCTTCTTCATAATTATATCGAATATATACAGGATGATTTTTTTAACCTGAAACTTTCAAATATCTCGAAAAATAAGCACTAGGAAAAAATGTTTTAGACAAAAGTTGTAGGGTTTCGAGGGGGACATAAGATGATAACATTGGTTTGACCCTGAGTAGCGTCGTCAAGGTCAGGACAAGGTCACTTTGAATTTTTTAAATGAAACTCCCAATTTTTCATTACATGTTCTTATAGCACGCCTCGAGAACTTTCCAAAACACATAAATAAAATATTTTTTTATGAAATAAATCTTGAGTTATGAAGCTTGAAAGTTGAAGTATTGTCGGCATTAGCATTATCCAAGGTGTCCAAACACTAGCTAAAGATGGCCAAGGTCGCCTTTATCAATGTCATGATCCTGAACAACATTCAAAATGTTTTAGCTAGTGTTTGGACACCTTGGATGATGCTAATGCCGACAGTACTCCAACTTTCAAGCTTCATAACTCAAGATTTATTTCATAAAAAAATATTTTATTTATGTGTTTTGGAAAGTTCTTAAGGCGTGCTATAAGAACATGTAATGAAAAATTAGGGGTTCCATTAAAAAAAATTACTGTAACCTTCAAATAACCTTGAAAATTGACCTCAAGGTCAAAACCAATAATGCAGAAAGATGACCCCCATTGTCCTGAACAACTTTTGTTTAAACAATTTTGTTGTATAGCGCTTACTTTAGGAGATATTTGGCTGTCTAAGTTAAAATGGGTCACCCTATATATACATATATATTGTGACGTGACGTCCGTAGCGATCTCGACTGTTTGTTATGCCGAATCGGCGGCTCCCGACAAATTGTAGGATTTTCCCAGTCTCACCGACACCGTAGTGACCAGTAGAAGAGGACCACGAGGACGAGGAAGACATCCCCGAGGAAACAGCGTACACAGGTCGTATCTTTTAGTTCGCGTTCCTTAACTCGAGAACAATTTAGCCGTCGAGCTTCCTTACAGATTCCGGTGCGAGCCAGCTAAGGCGAGGATAAAGGGGATGGCCACTCTACGCCCTAGACCGGGCGAGAGACCCCGCAGTCGGAGACGCAACAGGGCGCCCCAAGGATAAGATCTGCCGCCAGGAACGGCCCCTGACGAGGAGGAGTTCCGCAGGACTAGCCACCTGAGCGTGCCAAAACGGGAGCGTACCTGGGGGTACCGCCGACAGAAGGACGTCGCCTGTAATTTGAATACTGCGCGCGGGGACACAGGACTCGCGGCGCTACGCACCTCATGCGATTCGCGGGGGTCGCGAGCTTGCACGCCCGCCAATTAGGCGCAGAAGGATGTACCACGTGGGCCCACCGGCCCGGCGAAATCACGGAAGCAGCGGCGCCCGGCACTTGTGCTGTGGCTGAGAGCAAGGAAGGATGCAGGACGAGAGATAAAGTTCGCAGAAGAAGAAGCGAGCTGCCGTTTCCGCGAAGAGGAGTTCCCGGTGAGACGAGCGCATTTATGTAAAGCCGCCGATTTTTGTGTGTCTGACGGATCGCAGGAAACGCGCGCTAATAATTATCGTTTTCGTTGTGCGACACGGCTAGAACCGATAAAGCTTCCATATATTCCAGCGCCCCGTCTGACATTGTGCGTCGATATTTCTTGCAGGACCGTCGCGCCCCGCGTCCGCCGAGCGCCACAGCCAAGCCAGTAATTGTAGCGTAATATTTCTGTAATTGTGTGCGTGTGATAATTCGCGTCCCAAAGAGGCCTTACGCCGTCGGGAAACGGAACTTGAGAGAATCTCCGGGATTGCGGGATCCTTCGGGACATATTCGTCACATATTTTCGATCTATCCTGCGTATATCACGTTTGTCCGCGCACGCCGTACGCCTGAGCCCGAGCGCTCCGTGCCGGCGTGCCAGCGAATATCACGCTCGCACTGCATGACTTCCGATTCCGCGTGTTGCTCAGATGCGAAAGAGATGTAATTGAGTTCGTACCACCGAATAAGAGATCAGGACTAAGTCCTGAATTTCTGTTTGCCCGAGATACGATCCCGATAGTACGATCGTAGAGTACGCGAATTACGAGTCTCCGACGATTTTTGTGTCAAGCAGTAATACTCCGCGTAACTAGTGTTCTCGTTTCTCGTATGCAACTCATCGTTCAAAACTGTAAAATTTGTTCGTCAAATACATTTGTTACTTTTATTGTTACTATCCATTGCTATTTCTTTCAGAATGTTCTCGCTCCCCGAACCTTGACCGTTTTCCCTCGAGCCCCTTTACCATTCTCGTGGCTGAGAGACCGGTGGTAAATATATCGATGAAGGGAGGCTGCTCCAATGACCTTGACCTTTATATATGTTGTCAAGGGCATGACCCCAAGTGACCTTCAAGTGGTTTTAGCCGTCGCTCGTTATTCGTTAAAAAGTTATTAACAAAATATATGTGGAAGTATGTGTGGACAGAATAGGCATAAATATAACTATAATAATTAAAAAGTTATAAAAAACTAAATACTTTATTGAATACTATTATTAATAAGATATATTTGTCCCATTATTTGAAAGAATGCA